TCCTCTGACGTTTCCACGGCAACCTGGATTTCGTGCGTCGCCGCCGTCGTCCTCGTCCTCGTCGTCGTCGTCGTCGACCTCGTTGTCATTGTCGCTGCTCTCGTCGAGCCCCAAAGTATCTGCCGTTCGCGAAGAGGAGTCGGGGAAGGGGAAGAGAAACACGGAGGACCCGTAATTGTAACTTCATTTCGGGCTAATTTCGGGCCGGGGAGGTATGATGAAACGCGGTAATAATTGCGTTATCCAGACAAAGGACGGTTATGGATACGCGCCGCCGCCACTGCCGGCGTTTCCAACGTGGAGGCACCATCCCCCGAATCCTCCCTCGAGGGTGCTGCCGTGCCGGATAATGTAGGAGGGCCTCCTTCCCTTTCGCTCCCGCGCGCACCGCAAATATGGCTGCTTTAACGAAGGCCGCGGCGATGGTGCAACATATTGTTCTCCCCGTGCGTGTGCAGCTATTCGCTTAAACGCCGACGTCCCGTTGCTTCAAAAGCCATTGAAAAAAAAAAAAAAGACTCGCTAGATAGATCGATAGATTTATTTCGCGCGAAATTTATCTCACGACAATGCAACAGTATGTATGATCGCAGTTTCGCGCTCTCGTTTCTTCGATCGTAATATCAATGCCGAAGATGCAGAGCATCCGTCACGGGAATATTATCCGTTTCACGAAAATGCGAAATGGCGAAGCGATCCATTACGATCTCGAGCCGAGATAATAAATGCGACGATTTGACGGCTTCCCGGAGAAGGAGAATCCTCTTCCTCCCGCGGTGCTGCCGATGGAATGGTAAATAACTCGCCGCGGGTAGGGTAGGCAGGGCATTATTTATGGGGATGTAATTTAATAACCGAAAGAGAGATGAACACGGGGAGATATACCGGTGACGTCGGCCGGAAAGCCGAAAGTGGCATGAAAGTAGCAGCCATCCCATTGGCAGTCTTTCCGCGTCCTCGAGGAGTACTGCCAAGCCATATGGCTCGAGCCGCCACCTCGGCAGATTCTGAGAGGGGGAGAGGGAGTGCGAAATGATATGGAAGTAATGGAGAGCGGTTGCGTCTCCTCGGCGGGAGATTGAGTCGCGCGATAGAGCCGTACCGAGAGAGCGATGACAGATTGATACAATTCCGGCGAGATTCGACGCGACAGATTTCCTGCCAACTGTTGTCGCCGCACCGGTCATTACGTCGAATTAAAGCCACGGTTGAAAATCTGTGTGATCGATCGTGCGTGGATCGCTCGAGTTTTCGACAGTTTGGCGACAAAATTAAAGGAGTTAAAAAATTTGCAAGATTCGACAGATAAATTTTTCGACGGATATCGCGTCGAAAGAATCTTCAAGCTCGAGACTACCAGTTCGGGTAATAGTCCTTTGGCATCTAACGGACGGAGGATCCCACGACCGGAACAACAGGAAGTCAAGGGAGAGACGGCTTTTTTCCTTGGCCCTGATATCGACTCTGTCGCAGCTTGCGGCTTCGGGGGCGAACGCGAGAGGCACGCGAAAGCGTCGGGGGTTGTGTCGAGGAGGAAACGAGAAGAAGGCGGTTGTGAACCCGGCGTAAAGCTCTCGGGCGAACCTCGCTCCTTATCGATCTGCTCCTGAGACTCCTCCGACTAAGAAGGAGGGAGATAGAAAGGGATCGACACCAAAGGAGAACGAGGGAGAGAGAGAGAGAAAGAAGGGCGGTGGGCCTTTGCGGGTTTGTATACGTGTAAGATAGACTTCGGTAGAGAGCCGCCTACTCGACCGTGACTCCGCAGTCGAAGCCGAGCCTATCAATATTTCCTCCTGAAATTCACCGCGGCTCCTCTTTCGGCAATCCTTCTTCCTTTGTACTCTTCTTCCAGGCTCTCCCGATTTCACCTTTATCGCGCCGCGGCAATAGATGAATTCCATCGCATTTCATCGATTCCTTAATTATCATACGCTTTTTCACGTACGTCGGACAATTTTCGATTAATACGCTCCTTCGTTCCGCCAAATATATTAAATGAATCGACGACACGAAACTCCTTTTAGTTAAAAAAACAACAAAAAAAAAAAAGAGAGACGTAAGAACCATCGCGCGAAGGAAATGTCCTTTTTTAATCACGACATTGCATTCCGCGATTCGTAAAGAGCGCGAAAAGAGAACAATAGAACGCGAAGTCGCTGCGTCGGCGTCTTTGGCGAATAAAGAAGAAGGCACGGAACTGTTAACGTCCAATCTTCCCTCCGTTTTTCGCCTATTTTTCCGCTCTCCTCAATCCTGTCTCATATACACGGGATATATAACTGTTATTTTTCGCGAAAGCCACTCCATTATCTCGCTCTCTCTCTCCTCGTCCGTCTTTTTTACCTCTTGCGACTCCCATGCCATCCCACGCTCTTTCCTCTACCCGCGGACGGTCTCATTTCGAAGTGCTCCGGCAAAGCAGGACAATACATTATATTAGCTGTATCATTATTTCTCCACCCCGAAAGCTACCTCGCGGCTAGAAAAACCTGGACACGCTCATAATGGGAGAAATCCCGGCGCACTACGCTCGCTGATGCATCTCAGTTTCTTCGCGGTAAAATCGCGTTTGATATCGAGATCTTTCTTCTCTCTTTCTCCAAACTAAGTTCCGGCTATGCCAAAGCCTCATCAATGAAAACATGATCGATTCAAAGTTTTTCATTTCGTATTTCTCTCAGTTTCTTCTTTTCCTCCAGTTTAAAACAATTGTCTACACAATTTTCTGAGAGTCGCAGCAATCCTTATACGAGATAAACCTCCGTGTCTCGCGACTTACTTTCTCCCCTCGAAAATGCACCGTCATTCCGATAAATTGCACATCGGGCAGAGATTACATCCGCTTCGACGCTTCGCGGGATATTTAGTTCTCGAGACCCCTCTCTCGTTATCAATCGTTGTATAATTAGTCCGCTGGCCATTTTCCAAAGGGACCAAACGCTCGCGCGTTTCTATCCGCTGCTCGTCGAGCGGAAATGCACTTACCTGCGCGGAATGGATCGGGCGGAGGGTTGCGGGTTTGGTGTACGTGAGTGGGTGATGGTACGTTGGATATGGATGCATGTAGATAGCGAGCGAGGTAGATAGGTAGGTAGGTAAGTATCCGCGGGGTAAGTTTTTCCAGGCGATCTGCTCTCCGGATTCAGATCAATACCCGCCATCTGGGCCTCGAGTCGGGGGGATAGGGACAAGGAGGAAAAGGAGTCGCGCTGGCGAGAAGGAGACCACGATCAAAGTGAGAGAGAGAGAAGCGAAAGGTGAGAGCGAGATGGAGAGACGAGACCAGGAGAGGCAGAGGAGATCGTACGGAGGTGGAGCCGGAGGAGATGGAGAAGTCACTCGAGCAACAAGCCACCGCCGCACCCTCGACGCAATCCTAGACACATCGAAAACCTCGGCCAGAAAGCAATTCTTGTACTTACACACACGCTCGCGTTTTTCACGCTACCGTGACCGCGCGACGCGCGTAGTGAAAGAAAGAAAATATATGCGCGTTCACCTCTCGCTCGTACGAACAAATAAATATGGACAACTCGACGAAACACCGATTGAGAAATATGACATAGGAAGACGCTCGTTGCTTTCTATTTCAATCGCCGAGTTGTAACAAAATTCCCTCGCTCGCTCTCTCTTCCTATCGTGATGCGATCATTTCTTCAAGTTTTTAATATGTCGAGCATTTTAGTGTGACGTTAAAAAAAAGATAGGGAAGGAATGAATTTGGAGAAGCGCTATTTCGCGATTGAATCGATAGAAGAACGTTCGAAGACTGGACGTTGCGCGGCATCCCGATCTCTCGTCGCGCGACCGCGACGCGGAATTTAAATAAGCGGCCGCGCGTAGCACTTACGTCGTTACGTGGGCGCTAACTCATTTGCGTGCGTTTCCATTAGCGGCTGCGGCCCGCGGAAATCGCGTTAGTGAATTTCACTTGCCGGCGCAATTCGATTCGCATTACGCTCCATTTCATTATCGGCGACCCCGCGTGTGCGGGAGATGAAAAAGAGAGGGAGGGAGAGAACGTGACAAGAGAGAGAGAAAGAGAGATATCTCGCTCGGGGGAGCGGAAGATAAGATCTTAAGTAGCGACTGATTAAATCTCGGGACATATGCGAGCCGATCAATGGATACACCCCATCTCGTCGCTTCTCTCCTTCTCCCGCTGCGTACCCTTGCAGCTTCTTCTTTCGTCGGTCGAAAATGGGAGGAGAGACCGAGTCGTTCAGTTTGTGCGGTGCTGATACGCTGTAATGCCGTCCCGCGGGAACTCACTCCCTCTCGCCATCTCGTAAGGGCTCGCTCTACAAACGCGGGGTACTCGTGTTCCGTCGGCCCGGTTGGGCGACGCAAAAACACTTGAATTAATCGGCCCCGGGTCCCGAAGGAACCTGCGAAAGGTCAATAGGATCGGGGCGGATGCGCACTTATCTCGATGCACATGCGAGGGTGCACGCGCGGACTTGGATAACCGATCGCGTCGGGCCAAGCATATGTCGCGACTCCTCGAACCGGCTCCGACCGACGATTAGCGAAATTAGTGACATTTCAAATTATGTTTATTTTTTTCTTTCAAAAAGATTATCAAGAATTTCTAGTCGAAAGATTAGAATGTATGAGGATCCATATCATCGGTGCGTCTAAAGTTTGGAACAATGCATTCCATTCAAAATATGCAACGAATACGATGAAACGAATATTTATAATCTCTCATTTGAAATTAATGACACGCATTAATCAGATTTCGAGTCCTTAATTTTTTTAAAGGGATGCTTTTACGCGCTCGTTTGCATTATGTTACGAATTTATTCAGGCGTTCTATAGAATGTCACATTAATTATAAATTTAATTATAAATCTATACACGCCTATTTTTATTATATATACTCTGTCATCGATTTGATTGTCAAATGGCCAAGCGCGCGTTTGAGGGGATGCAACAATCCCGGAATGAAATGATCCGCTGAATAAATAACGATAATAACAACAACATTGACTCACCGATTGATGGAAGAGACGGATGGCACGTTGTCCTGCGAGCAAATGCCTTCGGCCAGCAATCTGTCCCTAATCTCCCACGCAAACATGGTCGGATTGTCCCTCTTGTAATTAGCGATCGCGTCGACCACCGGCGGCGTTGCTACTTTCGGCTTGGAGCCTCCTATGACGCCGGCTTTGAAGCTGCCTGTCTCGTAATACCTACAACGTAAGATTACAACGTAACATTACAATCAATCTTATCAAACTTATCTCATCTTATTTCGCGAGAGAAAAAGGTCGCGCGGGAAACTCGCGCGCTTAAAAGCTCGATGCCGACGAGAGATCGGTCGCGCCAAAGTTCGCAGTTTGCTCGCTCTCTCTTTCCCTCTTTCGTCCTATCGTGGAACACGGAATCGCCAAGAGCGGGGGAAAAAGAGAGAGGAACGAACGTTTTTCCCGCGGTGGGCGGCCAACGTCGGAATAACGAATCGCCGTCCAGCGGCGCGTCAACGACCGGCTGTTTTAAAACAAACGGCTTCTGGCCTCCCGCTGTTGCCCTCTCTCTATCCCTCCTCTCTTCCCTCTTTCTCTCTATCCTTCGGATATCTCTCGTCGCTTCTCTCCCATCGGCCCGGGTATATGGGCGAGATGGGCGATCGCGATTGGCCCGCCGTGAACGCGCCCTTTGTGCCTAATTAGTTAAATAATATCTTCGCTCGTGCTTAAATTCAATTACGCCGGATAGTCCGCAATAATGGTTCGCTTGTGGGCCGCCTTGATGGATGTGGGTCCGCCGCCGGCGTCGGCGTCGACGTCGACTCACTATACGCGAGCTAGATATCTGGCCAATTTTGCGTACGCGCGTATCTCTGTGTCTGTGCGGAACACGCACGCGCGTCGGAAGCTTCGCGTTTTTTGCGATGAAAAATATTTGCGCGAATAAAAGCGCCGTAACAGGGTTTTTGCGTTGCATGTCAGAGGAAAAAATGGGGCTCGGATTGTCGAGTCGAATTATAGTCCTCCGTCCTTTGTACGCGTTTTGATTGTTGTAGCTAGGAACGAAGGCATTTTTTTAGCTAAAATTGCAACGTATTTTTCATATATATATATATATATATATATCTGCACCGAATGAGCTTCTCTGTCATTTTGATAAAAAAAGCGGACTATTTTGTATTATTCTATTTTTATTGATGTATATTGGATTCTGTTAATTTAGTGCGAGGGCTATTTTGTATCGATTGATCGGTACTTAAAAAAAGCACAATCATAAACGTACTCGAATAGGACTTTTAGGTTCCGTGCCGCCTCCGCGAAATGATTGCGATCATATCTGGTGTGTAAAGCCCCATTATTCCGGGCCCACATGGCATTGCTCACCCGTTGATATTTCGTTCCCCTTTGTTCCGCCTCCACCGTGAAATGGCCATTAGATCGCGCGATTTTTCAAATCGATCTTTACCGCCGCCCGACGTGTTATTCTCTCTCTCACCCTTGCTGTATTAATTCCGATTTAAATGGATTCGAAACAGTCTTGCGCGAAATCGAAAACGCCACCTCCGTGGAAGAATGGCATTATTTACGCCCGTCGTTACGTGGCCGACGCACTGATTTTTCGCATTAACGCTACCGTAAAAAGCACAGCGTTAATCAACGATAATCAGCGATAGTAGTTGAAGTAATAAAGAGCCTGTTTCGATATGCGGCATAAAAATAATAAATTTCAGATTATATAACTGTATATTAATATTTCGATATTTCCCAAATTGAAAATTTGATATTTTCTTTAATTTTTATCTACAATATGTACATATCTACAAAGGAGCAATAAAAATGCCAAGCAAACAATTCAAGTTACTCAATCGCTAATCAATTAGACGGTTGTAACAGCACGAACAAGGAAATGACATATGTTGTCACGCTTACGCGTCGACGAAGGACGTTTCGCAGGATCCGAGTCATAACCAGCTTTGCACGGTCCTCGGAATCCGCGGCGTGTCTAGAATACAGAAGTGAATACGAAGAGCCACAAAGCGCCGACTCTAAAGAAGAAGGAGCACTTTGTATGTCGCGCGACAGAAAGGTCTTTCGCGAGGGAGAGACACGACGACTCGATTTCGTGGGATCGCCGCGTCGCGTCGATGCCTTTCAACGCCGTCCCCGTCGGCGGATTTTACGAACCCTCTCGCCTAGAAGTCGAATCCCGGTATCCGGTTTCGTCCTAGATTCGGCGAACGGCGTTCTCGTCGTATCAGCGACGCGTGACCGCGTAAAGGCGCGCACGCAGTCGCCGTTAACGTTTGTCACATCGTCGACAGGCCCTTAAAAGGCCGTTTTCGCCGTATCTTCGGACCATAAAGTCACACATCCGCACGCGGAAGAACACCGTGTATTTAGCTGGAACGAGAGCCAAGTCCTCTCGAGCAAGTCTACGTTTAAATTTAGCAACCGCGCAAAAGCAAGACCCGAAGTGTCGAACGGAGTCGCACGACTCTTGTGACGCAATCCTTCCGCGGTGTCGAGATCCGAAAATTCAATCTCTCTCTCTCTCTAATATTTTGACTCGCGCGTCACGGGAGAGTGAAATTCGACTGACAGGTCTCGCTCGCATTTTTGTTAATGACAAACTCTCGTTTCTCCGAACACGAGCCTCGGCCCGGGAAAGGGCCCGAGCCGGGAAGAAGGAAAGAAAGAGAGGAAACGCGGCAACTTTAGTCGCGGCAGTAAATAATCCAGTCGGCCTTTATTATGCGGGATTCATGAAAGAGCGCGATATATGACAATGATATTTGGTCGTGGGGGACGCGAATGACGTTCGGGCCATCAAAGCGGCACGAGGCCACCCGTTACATAGCGGAGCGAAGGGAACCGGAGGAGGGTGGAAAAAACATGGAAACCGCATATCGTCGGGCGACTCCGCGAGAGTGAAGGGGCCGGTTCCTTCCTTCCGGTCCCTTCGTCCCCCCCCCCCTCGGTCTCTCCCTTCATCGTCCCTCTCCTTCCCGAGAATCCGTTTGCCTCGCGGTCCTAACGCAGCGTCTTTAATTAAATCACTTCGGGAAGCGAGAAAGCTTGGTCTCGAGTCTTTTTTGCCCTCGCGTCTCTTCCTCTCGTTCGCGAGTCGGGAAACGACCTTGGCCACTCCGCGACGCGGAAATTGCGGTGTTGCGTTTGGCAAGAGAGGATAAGCTTGATTCTCTCGTAAATCACTCGCCCTTCGACGACATTGTTTGTGCTTGTTATCCGCTCTCCGAACTTGGCAAACGCGATTTTCAGATGCGATCCTCGCGCATCTCTTCGCATATACATGTATACATTTTAGCCGATCGATTCGTGTGGATGCGTTATTCAAAGAAATAGATCGCCTCGCCGTCTTTACAATGAACCGTTTAACTTTGCGATATTAAATTGTGGGAGATTAATTTTCTGGAAAAATTTGCGCGCGCTCGGATTAATCTCCGTCCTCATCTCGCGATGACTCGGCGGGTCGCGATTTAAGGATACGAATACAGAGGTACGATGCCGGTACTCACCTCGACAGTATCTTGGATACACAGCCGTGAGATACCCTGAGTTGTCTCGAAATGTCGCACGGTCGGACGCCGCTGTGCGCGAGCTCGACGATCCTCTGCCTCACTACATCCGGTAGGGGCCTTCCGTTCACAAAGACTCCGCCGAGTTGGTTGACTCCGCCATGACCTGAAAAAAAAGGGATCGATAACGTATTAATCGATCGTGAGACTTGAATCCGCTAATAAAAAATATTCGCAAAAATATATCATCGATATCGTGTACAGGTATTTGCTAAAACGCGCCATTTACATTATTAGTTTGTCCGTTTACTTTTATAGCAACAGCATTCCGCTGTTAAACGTCATGTTGGAACCGGTGGCATGAATTAAAACGATTCGACGTGCCATAAACGATTCGCCGTGAAATCACGGCGTTAAACGCGATTTGCGTGTGAATCGGACTTCGCGCGCGCGCGCATTAAATCGACGATCATTAAAGGAAGCTGGCAGAACGGATCGCGAATGCCAATGTTAAATCTTCTCTCGAATGGTCTCTATCGCCGCGGAATCATTCCACTTGACAGATTTTGCGGAGGAATATTGTACCGTTCACCAGCGAGGCTTTCTATCGAGAAAATTATTTGTTTCTCTCACGCTTTAGTAGTTTTAAAAATCATTTATTATATATATATTAAATAAATATACTTATTATATATATGATTTAACAATCGGACAATGATGTAATGAAGTGCGTGAACCAAAGGCGAACCAAAATGCGAAAGATGAACTTTAATATTTCTGCCGGTTAATCATTTTCGCAGTGCCGAGAAACGTTCCAGGGTCTCAACGTCGAGCATTCATTATTATTAGTTTACTCCCCGCTGCTCGTCGAGTTTCTGTCTCGTCGCAGGCTTCATTTTCGCGCATTAAAGCCGCCTAACGCGATAACTCGGAGCCAATATCGTAATGGAGGGTTCTGCGCCGCGACATATGTCCCCCTGTTCGTGCCAGTGCACCGATGATTCGATGATCATCGTTGTTTTCTGCGAACCCTCGACGACGACGAGTTAGTTATTCGGCCACGCTGTCGCTCTTATCTCCCTCTTCGACACTTGTTCTGGCAAATACATTTCTATCGGGATGAGCGACTCGTTAATTCGGGATATAAAGAATTATTATATACTCGAATAAATATTTGATTCGAAATAAAAATTTGGCGATTCCAACACTGTCCGACGTAAAGTTAATTCGAAGAAACGAAATGAGCCGCGGAGAGCCATCGCGCGTTCGCGATTTCCATTCGAGGAGGGAGGGATATTTCGTAATTACGGTAACACCGCGATTTCATGAGGCGTGAACCGCAACGTTTTTTTTACCGTTCAGCCGTATATATCGCGCCGCTCGATGATACCTCGTCGTCGCACGAAGACAATGAGGTCTCCGCGATCATTACTGGAAACGATACGCGCCTTCCGGTCGCAAATCAATTCGCTCTCGCGTTTATGGTCGCGTCCCCCGCGGCGCGGCCGGTAGTCAGGGGGATAGTCGTCGGCATCATGGTGGCACTGCCAGGGCGAGAGTACCATGACTACCCTACTACACGCACACACGCCGTCACGCCTGCTGACCACAGCTATACGCGAGGGCTCCGGCCTGGACCACCCCCGAATCGTTCTAGCTACTACTGCTACACTACTACCGCTGCTATTACTACTGCTGGCTGCTACTGGATTTTGCTGCCGTCGCTGGAAACTGGCCGCCACGCCGGAGCTTATTGCCGTCCGCTTCGTTCCGGACTTCTGGGATACGTCGAATCAAGAGATGCAACGTCTCCAACTAGTCCCGTGTAATTGCGCCCCTATTGTCTCTATTGTCTCTACACGCCACGCATAGTCATTCCTTCCACGTAATGTAATGTTGCGTACGAAATTATGGAATCTAAAAGGGAAAAGAGATTCCTCGAAAGCCATCGTGGTAATAGAAAGTCTAAACGGGTTTTATCGACTCTGACCAGGAGAAGAAGAGTGATGATTGTTATTGGCTCTTGTGGTTTTACTCGAGCCAAAGCGTTTTAATAGAAATCTCGATGATGGAGCGTCGTTTGTACAATAGGACGATTCGCACGCAATTTCGTCGAGCTGTATCCAACTTCGTGACTCGATCGAATCGGATTTACAGTTTTATCGGAGAAAGCCGATAGCGCATCTATTTAATCAATCGCGATTCGAGCTGCCGGTATGTAAAAACGTCGATGCAAAATCAGGTGACCTGACTGAGCGTCGCGGACTACTTGCGGACAAATGCGAATTCCCGTGTCGCCATTGCGTTTTCATTACGCACGTGCCCCTTGTCTTAAATGATATCCTTGAAATCTCGATGGGATCGCAAAGTCTCCACCATCCGATTTCTATTATCTTTCGAATCTCTCATCTTAAAGTCGATTCCTTCCCAGATCTATGGCGGCGAAAGAAAAGATTTGTACGCAAAAATGCCTGCGAGTAGAATTGTTAATTTAAATATTAAAAATATGTGTAAATTTTAATTCTTTCAGATATATATCTATCGAGGTAGAAATCGAAACTCTCTGTATATGGGGTATTTTTTTTATTTGCACGTATATTGCCCCGTTCCACTTTTGTGGCGCGTTCGCAATCGAGAATGGAGGACCGGTCCAAGATAGTTTCAGAGCCAATAAAATGAGGACCGGTGATACACGATCACGGCGGCTCGACTACGTGTGTATATTGGAGAAGCCAGAAGAACTTTGATATAGATTCCCGTATAGTCACTCGATATTTCTCCAGCATCGCGCTGCTTTGTTCCCGTATTACATTACGCCTCGACGTTATGTATTGCCGAGCACGCCTGAATACGACGGACTTTATTATCCGATGGCTAGAAAAATACGCTCGGAGATGAAACTCACCGTCTCGGAATTTTACGACGTTGCTCGTTATCAGATCGATTTATATTGCAATTGAAAAGCGCGTTAACATCCCACCTCCATGCTGATTATACCACAAAAAATTTTTTTCTCGGACATGTGCAAATTATCTGACTATATATAATATCGATACGATAAATAGAAATTGATATTCTTAAATTTTTTAAAAGTAAATTAAATTAAATATTCAATAAAATAATTTTTTTTAAGGAATGCAATAAAGATACGCATCTCGTTACAAACGATTTTACGACGCGCAATCGGCGATCGTCGTCATTCTTGTTAATGCTTCATAATTGGTAGTATTTTCATTAGATTTAACAGACCAGCTGCGCGCGAATGTGAACGGAACACGATTTCGATTTGCTGCAACTTTAAAAGCGACATTCGAACTCGTCTAATTAATATAGTCGGACCGTTAAATGGACGGAAACGCCAGCGGATCGGCAAACTCGTTATTCTCGCGTAACATCCTGGGCAAAGTTATATCAATAGAGCTCTTCTACATGAAGAATTATAGGAATAAATTATAATTATATGTACTTGCGATAAAATTTATCAAGTTCGCACAGAGACGAAGATGGATGAATGCAGCAACTAAATCGGATGCGTAACATTTCTCTACGAGTTTGAAGGAAGACAGAGAGAAAGAGAGAAAGAGAGAGATCGTCGCGAAGTAGCTCCTACGCAAATCGTCGATCGCGATATGATTGCGGTTTAGTTTTTCGTCGGTACCGGTACCGCTACGGCTCGGTTAGCTCGAAGGCCATTAGATTTCTTGTTTTCGCATTATCATTTCGACGTCCATCGGCGTCGTTGGATTCGCGCGTTCCTCTTTCCGATCATTCCGTTTGCTCCACTTAATCGACGCATCGTCGGCAAACTCGAGGAGAAATCGCCGCAATTCCGCACGCGGGAAACGATTTCGCGCGATTTCGCGATTCTTTTTGCATTACATAGTTATCGTGAAATTTTTTGACAATATATATCTAACTTACAGCGCGGTTTTGCGACTGTTTCGCGCTAGAAGAAATATAAAATGTAGAGAATAGACGGAGTTTAACTATAGAAAAAACTCTCGGCATAAGAAGAGAAAAAGTGTTTGCTTACAAGGCTAGATTCATTTACATCTAGATACTTATTAAGATTGTCATGATTGCACAGTCTGACGCAAATGATTGTTAACGTGAGCTCAGAACTCTGATCAGAATAGAATCTGCATGGCGTTGATAAAAAACATATCCGACACTACTAAATATTTATAACGTTTTCTTCATACTTAGAAGATTGACGAGGTAACAATCAAGCGAAAGATTGAAATGAAACAATGATAAATCTTAGAAACGACAAAAAGCAATTTAATTTAAAATATATCGAATTTGCGCGACTGAAAGGGCTATAATGAAGAGAAACGTATAACGTTTAGAAAATACAAGGTTAAATGTCTTACAGGTGTAATATTCCATCATGTTCTGATTGTATCGGTAGGCACTACTCAGAGTAGTGCTGAGGTCCATCGCGGCACTTCCGGGCCCGACGGCCATCGGGTATCCAGGTGCCTGCCTCTTCGGAGGAGCAGATTTTATATGTAATATACGAAAGACATCCGAGAAGGACGGCGGTCCTATTGACCGCCGATGAAGACCTCTCGCGCGTTTCCAGAAGTGACTTTCCCGTCTCTTTTTCTCTTTTTACGTGGATGGAGCAGGCGAATTTATGGCGACGCGACACAATGACTGTCATCAGGAGTGTCTTTGTGCCGGACGACGGGTGGCTGCTGCGGACACCCGGTCGGCCGTCGCTTCATCGCTCCGATCCAGTCGGAAGAATTTCACGTACGAGTTCACAATTTCTCACAGAGTTCACAACATTGTCTACGTGAGCGTTCGAGGAGTGTTCGTTTAAATCTCATACGAAACGCGAGAGTGTTTATGCGCTCTTTTAAAGTACTTTTTAATCCCGCCCGAAATCTATCTATTGCACATTGTTCTCATTCGCGAGTCGTGCTCGAAATTACAAAGGTAATCTCTCCACTTCTCGTTACACTTGAAACAGCAGTTATGAGACACATATACGACGAGCACTGCCTCTTATCGTTCGCCACAATTCACCAATCACCTGATTGCATCACTCACTGCATCCAAGTGGTCCAGTTAACATCCCGAGTGTCTCGCCACACAATCCGACATTCTACACGTCTCATGAAACTGTGCGACATTCATCCAGCGCATCATTGATAGATG